AGTGATAATTATATTTTATTGGAATACCATTTATTTTTTCATCATGAGGATGTCCAAGCAATTTATTTACAGTATTTAAGAGCTGCCAACCAAGCAGTGAAACATCATTGCACAATTCCATAATTACACGAAAATTTGTATTTAAAGAGTATCCCCATAAGGAAACGTTATCTTCAAATCCACCTATAAAAAAAAAGAAATTTATATATTTACAGTACCTTTAAAAACTACATTACTATATACCTTCTACAGCGCGGGAAATATTTGTCGTAATATTTTCAGCCAAAAATGATGCAACAGTTTCACTGTTTATTTTGTAAGCAGTAATTATATTATCAATAACTTCAAATTTATCCTCAATATCACTTTCTGCAACATCTTGTAAAAATTGAGTAGGATTGTTCAACGTTAATAATAATTGGTAACTTTTTCCCAGTTTTGTTGCTAATTTATAACACAAAACAATTCTGAGGCATATGTCTAATCCATGTTCCAAAATATCCAGTGATTTTTGTAAAATCGATAAACAATCGACTTGTACCTTATGAATGTTTTCTTCTTTTGGTTTACTTTCATTAATATTGGTTGAACTGATTACTGTAACAGAAAGTTTGGCTATAAATACGCAGGACTTGACAGTTTGTTGCAACGAAAATATAAATTAGAAATACATGAAGAGGACGACGAAAATCTTTGTAAACTACGACTCTTTAAGGCACCGTATTTATTTGCATCTTTCAAAAGATTTTGTTGTTCAATAGTTAATTCATTCGGTGAAATTTCTCCTTCTGCTAAACTCAAACATAACAGCAGTATTTGTAAATCCTGTAAATGAAAATAAAAATATTAATATACATAGTAATTAATTAGAATTTAATAAAACTTACCTTATGTTCATAATTGAAAATTATACTTATTCTCAAAGCAGTATCCAATTTACCTAAATCAATTAACTTATTAATTAAATTTTCAGTTGCATTTTTCTCATGTATGGTACTTAATGCATAGCAAAATTTCAGTTTATTTAATCCTGATAACAATTCAGTTTTTAGTTTATTGAAGATGTGTGGTCCTCTATCTAATTGTATATTTTCAGGACCAGCTAATATACATGATTTCCACATTGCTACTTCTAATACATCAATATTTTGCTGTTCTGCTTCAACATTTTTTAATGTTTCAAACGCCAATTTTAATATTTCATACCTGTTAAAATATACGTTTATTATTTATTGCAATTTGTTTAATACTAGCATCACTATTTAAGAAGAGAAACTATATACCTTTCTTTATGAGAAGTATCTCTTTCAGCATGCTCAATAAAAAATTCTGTCGCCTTTTTATGTGGAACATTGTATTTTTTAAAATTTAACGCACATTTGCTCCAAAAATTATCCTCAATTTTACCATTTTTGTGCATGTAATATTTAAATTTACTTCGATACTATAAATATTATTGAATAAACGGTATAGAATAGATATAAAAAATTATAAATGCTAAAAATGAGGTATTACCTGAGCTAAGATTATCTCAGATGAATTTAATTTTGCTACATCTGATAATTCTAATGCACTATCATAATTTTCAGATTTTAGTAAATCACTAATACATCTCTGAATTTCTGTGTCATAATTATGTACGTTGTTTGATATAGTGAATGCCGCAAAATTTAACGTAACATTAGTTTTTTGAAGAATTTTTATGATTTGTAAATAACCCTGGAAAGTTCTCGTGAAAATTACATCTTGTCAAAAGTCCAAGAAATTTTGTTTGCAAATGTGTGCTTCTTAGATTATAAGCAAGTGTTGCAATAACACATTTAATTGTAACAGTTGCAACCCAGTATACATTATTCAAGTACATGTTATCGGAACAATTCCAATCCATAGCTTTCTAAGAAAAACACAACTATCATATTATTCCATTACCTGTTTAAGTATCAAACACTTTAATGGTATTTAATACGTACATTACATTTGAGATTTGAACACTGCTCTTTGAATTCCAATAACTTTTGTTGACATTCTTTGAAATCACCATTCACACATTGAGTGAGGAACTCAAAAAATAAATTGAAAGGACTCTCCTATAATTAAATAATGTCAGCAAAACAAGTTTTATTATTTAAATAAATAAAGCATACTTACAGGCATAAAAATTTTGTATGCTTTGCTAAGGTTATTAGTATATCCACATGTTACCATTTGATATAACAAATTGGAAACTTGATTCGCTGTCCATATTTGTTGTTCTAAACATTCTTTATAGTTAGAAAGGATTTCTTTATCTCTAGTAGATATTACCATCCATGAATAACAATATACTGCAGTTGAAGATGGCTAAAAGGGATTTTTAATAATAGAAGCAGTACAGATATTTTAATTGAAATTGTCAATATAAAGTACCTCATAACAGGTAGCTAAAACTGTGAGGAAAGGTCTTGAAGTTAGACAGGATGAATTTATTAAAGCTCCAGATGGATCTGGGCTTTGGTGACATTTCAGAATAATTGACCACAAATCATCATCTGGAGAACAGATATTGTCATTTACAACATATTCACACATACTGTGAGAATCAGAAGTGCTTGCTGAATTTGTTGATACTGGAGAACCAGATATAGGAGATTCCTGTTTTACAATAATATAGTACAATATTTGACAAAAATTGTTATGCATTTATAACATTTGTTACTTACACTTTGTTTGACTCCAATTTTGTAATACAATGTTTGTCTAGTATCACGTGATTTTATCTTCTGCTCAGTGCAAACAGTTAACTGAGACTTTGTAAGTTGTGTATTATTCAAACAAGTTTGTAAATGTTCTTTTAAAGTAGTATCTTCAAAATGTTTAATACTCTCTAATACCTAGAAACATACAAATAAAAAATAATGTAACGTTCTCCTAATTTTATATATGAATTGTTTAAAAGTCAAATTATTACCTGATTTAAAGGATAAGTAAAAATATGGCAAATTAAAACAAATTCAAACCAGTGGTTATGACTTGCCAAGAATTCTAGTAAACTGACTGGCAAAGGAAAATTATGCGCTCGTGCAAATCGCACGATAATATCCCACATTTTTAATATATTTACAAATTGTTGACTATCTTCAATTAAATTTTCTGTTAAATTTGCTTGAAAACTATTTTCAAGATAGAACATTATAGTTATCAAATCATCCTCATTTCTGTACATTATATTTGTTAGTAAATTACCTATAAATAAAATAAAATAATATGACGTAAATTGGAGATTTATGACTACAAAGCTTGTTACATGTTCAATGAAAGCAATTACCAGTAGGAACATTAATCTCATTATGAATATAATTTGCCACAGTTATATGGAGCCTCAAATTTTCTGAATCAATTCCTAACATTTCAATGAAAGAAATACAAGTGCATAATACTTCTGGTTTATCTAAATTCTGTAAGGCAAGAATATGCGCATATAGAGCTGCTTTGTGTTTCCTAAAAGCAATGTAGTAAAAGTGTTCATAATATATTTTTTAAATAACAAAAACGTACACTATAACAGATCTTTTTTACCTTCTAGAAAATGTATTTCGAATCACTTTTCCTTGGGAACGTTTTAGAGTAAGTAGAGCCATAGTAGGACGGGCTTCTTTTAAATAATATTCATACGTTAATGTCTCCGTATATCCGTATTTCTTAGCAAGAGCTTCATTAGAAAAATGAGGCATTGGTTCATTATTGAAACGCCATTCATATAAATGCTTCACATTTAAATTCTTATAACCATCTAATAAATCATACATTGTAACTTCTTCCTTTTGTTTATTTTTTATAATGCACTCAAGAATTGGAACTTGTTTTAATGTATGTTGAAGAACTTCATTTGAAATACTGTAGGCACCTAGTTGTAAATCATTTTGATTTGTAAATATATCTTTCAGTATATTTTCTCTTATGTGTGTGTCCTTATTTTGATTATTTGTTATATTGTTTTTAGACAAATATGAAAATATTAATACTAAAACTATTAAATAATTCTGTTTCAAATATTCGTTGACATCATCAGAAAGATAGAAAATTGTTTTAAAAATTCCTTCTATTAATGCATCTTCAAATGGTTGTTGACTTTCACACATTTGTGTTAAAGCATCATATAATTTTGTAATCTTGGATTTATCTACTTGAGTATCCGTTTGATTTAAACAACGTGCAAGACACAATTCTTTATCAATTCTTTTAAATTCAGTTTTAGTAATATTACATGACTTATACGATAATATAGTATTAAGTTCTGATATTGTCATAGCACTGCTAAAAATACGTGCTAATAATAACTTTACATCCTGTTTCTCTTTCTGTGCAAACACTCCATACCTATATATTCAGATATATCAAAATGAATATGTAAAAACAATTGTATGCCTAAATAAGTATTTTGTAAACAGACATACCTACACAGATGATTTTTAGTTAAATCTTTTACAAGAGTAGTAGCATTTGAAGAATCAATGGCTTCAATCATATTTGGTACTATATCCAAAGTAGTAAACAAAGACTTGTAGTCTTCATTAATCTCATTTGATTCATCTAGTGTATTACTACCATAGTAAATATCAATCCAAAATCTTATCATCTCAATTTTATTATTTGATAGCAAATAATCCCATAGTACACTATTAGTTATGCTTTTTAAAAGAGACTGCTCAGTTACAGAGAAATATAATTCTGTGCATAATGCTTGTTTTATAACTTCTGGTAATTTTATAATATCATTTATACATAAGGAAGAACTTAAACCATCTTTGATCCTAAAAAAAAGTACACCCTTGTTTTTTGTTCTATTTAAATTAATACCTACAAAGAAACTTACATATACTTTTGTTCAAATTGTACAATGCTTTTAAGAATGTTCCATGAATTTATGTGTTCAGTTTCAAAATGTAAAACCTTTATTAGATGTTCTGCCAGATAATCCCTCAATGTAGAATCTTTGCAGTTCATACAAATTTCAAATATAAATTCCATTGGATTTTTGCTCTATAAATAAAGTATACTAAATATAAATTATAGTAAACATTGTTTATGAGTAATTTAAATTTGATATACCATATTATTTAAAATATGAGAAGCTCTATAAATTTGGTGCTTTCTTAAAAGTTCCATAACCCAGGTTTCTACTTCTTGGTTGAAATAATCCTGAGCATTTTCGATAGAACATGTTTTCCTCCAGGCTAAACATTTACAAGCAAGATCAATATGAGTGCCTTTTGCAGATGCTTCTCTGACAAGTTCTCTATCTTCCAATGTACGCCAGCCAGACCAGATAGCTACAGATTCTCCAGTTAAACATTCAATTGGAATGCCTCCTACTGTTCTTTTGTCTGTCATTTTATTGATATTTTTCTGCTATAACATGCTATGATGAATTGCTGAAAAAATATAGTTTATACCACTGAATTTTTATATTAATTAAAACCTTATTATAAACTTAATATGGTTTTATGTTATTTTATTAAATATAAAACCAGAAATGATGAGAAATACATTACATGAACATAGAAAACTTTCATACCTGTTACAGTAGACATGTGAGATAAATATATGACGCTTAAAAGTGCATCACTTTTGCATACAAAATGGTAAACATCATTTGACGTTTCATTAGTGCGAAATGTCAGGTTTGGTTATGTAAGTATATGGTACTAGGCAAGCTTTCTATTAGGACATACATAGTGAAATAGTTTTTTTGTCGATTAATGGTGCTAACCACAGATAAGACATAAAAATTTATTTAATCAATGTATGACTTTTGGATATAATTTACAATTTTAATTATGCGTATTAAATTACGAATAATATACTAATATACGTGTTAATTCTCAATTAATGGTTGGCAAATATTATTAAGTGATTCTGTAGAGACTTTAGCGCGGCAAAAATGTTGCGTATGTTCCTCATTAGCTTAGGCTCCCGACTCGCCATCTACGTAATACAGCGTGCTACAAAACTTTGACATATTAATATTTTTAGTGTCCGTTTTATTTATTTTTTAATGTAAAACCCAAGAACATTCTATTAATTAAATCCAGTATCTCTAGTCAAATACATTAGCAACTTTATTCCGCTTGTTCACCATCTTTCGAACTCGCGTGGTTTGTGACGCTACAATTCAGAACACTACAGTGCCATCTAGGTAATATATTTTATTATGAGTAGAATTAAAAGGTAGCTATAAAATTTTATCACAATTCATCCTTTCATTTCGTTTTTCTACAAATACTATAAAAATAATTAAATAATTAGTGAACGATTATATAACGGTAGTCCGAAGGAAACTTAAATACGCTAATGACGTTTTCAGAACCTGAAAAAATAGGATTGTTTTATAATAACCAATAAAATCTTAAATGTGTAATTTTAAGTTATTTCAATATAACAATTGAAATATTGGAATATTGATAGTAACTCACGTTTCCAAATGTGGATAAAGATAAATCAACTACTTTACCAGCACTGATTTTAGCTGGATTACTTGACATGGCAATGATTAAAATAAGACCATGTATCGTCTTAGTCGGTAAATGGTACCAACTGATCATAAAACAGGATAATCCAACGCTACTGCTCTACGATATACGAAAAGTAAAGACAATAATAATTTATTTGACTAAACAATTCGTCTATTTTAACATTCATCAAAAGAACCATCGGTCATAAACCGATTTTGTTGGAACTTCCTTTTGTAGATATTGTATAATCTTCCGGCATCGAACGAACAATATTGCCACTTACGGCTTCAAACTGCCGTTCTAATATTTAAGCCAGTTTGATGGAATTCTGAAGGATATGTTTCACGGTGTAATTTTTTTGTTATTATTTATTGTTAAACAGTGAAAAAATTATAAAGTATATCAAAATACTTAGAGACGAAGTTTTTATTAATCTATAAACATTCATCAAATTCGGTTCACGATTCTTTAATAGGATGTCATTATTACACAACACATTTGCATGTAAGTAAAAAGTATTAAAAACTCACCTTTTCCATAAGAATCTCACCAATGTAGCATAATATGAATATATTAAATGTTACAGATATCAGTAACACTGTATATGTTGTAAGACTAACGGTATTACTGCTCTCCCAATCCTGTTACAAATATAAAACCAAGAACTCCTAAGTCCATTAGTCAAAAGTTATAAAACACGCACCGTTATACAGTAGTATTCAAGTAGACATATCAGTAAGGTAGAACCAATGAATTCCAAGAAGCATACTTCTTGCAACACTGTTTGCACTATTGCCGAGAATCTATAAATTCAGTGGAAATACTAATAATTTCATCTTTACCGACTGTCAATCCAAAGTGTAAAAATTCTACCTTAAAATTCGCAAATGATGCTCAACAATTTCTATTAATCGTTTATCTAAATCAGATGATTCTTTGCTGTTGACAAGATCACCCAATCGAGACATAACGATATCAATTTGTCCACAAGCGTGTGTAGCGAAAAGAGCGGCTAATCCGCAAGCACCAGCGGTTATAGAATAAATTACGTATCCGCACATGCAATGAACGAAGTAAACCAATTCGTAAATAGGGCTTGTTTGAACGTCAAATAAAGCACTGTAGGTGGGATAGACGAGCGGTTTAATCGTACGATTATACTCATCCACATACGTTCCGGTCGCGAACTGCATGACCGTGTGATAAATGGTGCCGCCGGTATACATAAATATGGCGCAGATTATCGTCAGATTTCGACCCATTTGCCCGTATTTTAGCATCATTTCACGATCTCTGAGAGATTCCACCTGTTCATATCCAGTAGAGAGATCCCCTTATCGAAACACTAAACGTTTTAATTTGCAAGGAAGTATAGAATATTGTCGGTGGAAGGGATATAATGAGCTAATATAAGCGTAAAGTTTACGTAAAATTTGTCAAGCATCGAAGTACTAAATATATAGAGATGAGAAATTTACTAGTGCAAGAAATGTGGATCATATGATTGGGTCATACCCTCATAGTCCCATTTTCTCTAACACAATCATAGAAATGGGGCACACGTGTTATCATTATTGTCTGACGCAATAATATCGACGAATCGGATCATATAAAATTGCACGACGGGAAACTCAGGTGCTGCGAGCGTAGTTACTCCTCTTACTCTTTGCCGTCTAGTTAGCCATCTTCTCGTCTCTACATATATAGTACACGTAATTCGAGCGTCAAAACGGCAGTTCGAGGGAGATAAGGATCTCAAGCTTCTTCGGTCAGAACTGTTCGATCTCAACTCGAAATTGATTCTTTCATTGCCAGTGTATGTATAAAAATGTCTGCTCTTTAATCGTTGACAACTGCAGGTTAATTTTTACCAATAAGGGAATTATTATAGGGCAAGAGGCGACGGAAGCTTAAAGGCGAATCCCCAGACCAACGCAAAATATTCATAGCGGTAACGAATATTTCGTGGCCGCTGCTTCTGCGAATATTTCGCGTTCGTCTGGAGATTCCTTAGTACAGTACTTTCTTAAATGAAAGATTGCGAGCAGAAACTTCAAATATCTATAATACTTTAATTTACGACCTCGCTATATCGCTTCCACCAACTATACATACATTCGTGTATCCCGCGAATGTGACTTACTAAGTTAGTAATACTACCTGATTCCTCTTTGAAGCATTATGCTACATAATATAATGAAACAGTTCGATTTTTAATTAATACTCTATGAATGCAAACACTCACCTCTTTCCAATCACTTTGCACCTCTTCTATACATTCTTTGATCCTTGGTTTCCGCGTGGCGAGGGCCCAATACTTCATCAACGAGATCAAACAGAAACTCAGCAGACCGAATAGTTTCAATCTTATTATCGTATCCTTTTGTTCGAATATTATGTGTAGAATACACGGTATCACGGTGAATAATAGAACCAAATTACTGAGTCCAATGGTGATTTTTGGTAGGAATCCTGCGGTTTCGTCCAACACGGCTGGCCAAATACCAAGGGACTTCAGGATCCATTTGCTGTGCTTTGTAACGTAAACGATATCTTTCTTGTAATTCAAATTCCGCGGTTTCCGATCGATCTGCTCTCGCATAGAGAGATGCATGTTCGTGGACAGCTCGAAAACGACTGTTTACGACAGACAAGCTACATTGATTGCGAGGTCATTGGGCCTGCGCTGGTGAGATATCGTGTGCGTGCATCCCTTTGAGTAGTTTTATAAATCGATTATTACTCATCAGAGAAGTGAACGAATAGGAGTTATAGTGGAAGCAACTGGTGATGCTATAGAGTCGTGGTTTAAGGCGTAGAGACAGGTGGTAGTAATCGAGGGGTAGAAATAAGCGTAAGTGCAGAACGATTAGGAAAAATTGTTTTTAAAGAGACTGTTTCTATGTGTACTTTTATATGAAGTGAAAATGTTGCAATATGTATATACGTATATTCGTGTAAATGTATACGTGTATTTATGTAAATGTTGTAAATAACGTGTTATAAAAATTATACGATTATTTTATATCAATATGGAAAAAAAATGTTTGCACGCAGTCGTCAGTTTTTACGCTTCGTAATAAGCCACGCCTACTTATTCTACGCAGGCGTGGCCAAGCATGTGGGCGTGGCCAAGCCTACAGGTGTGGCTTCTCTACTTTATTGGTTGGTAGCGAGACACATGCGCGTTCGGTATAATTGTGAGGGGCAAACGAGCACGACAGTGAAGTGAATATTTTAATTCGCGTATTTTCTGTTTCTTCTATGATCTTTTATCAACTGTTGGGAGCTGAAACGGGTAGTATAGTGAAAACAAACAGTGAGAATGATTTATTTAACAGAAATTTCATCTGTCGCTAACAATAAACATTTGAAATTCATACTTTGTTTCGTTTTTAATTTCTACAAAATTCAACGTTACTTCAATTGAAACGAAACAAACGTTACAATTATAGGCAAATACTTCAGAATTTCTCGTCTCGAATATTTCCATCTGTAAAGGCAGTATTTTCGATTATGCGATGAAAATTTTCTCAACGAGAATGTATAATAAAAAGAGTAAAATTTTATTACCAGTTTGTAACTGTTCGCAGTAAATTCAAGTACACCACCGATGTTTTCACCACCTGAATATTATTAAAAAATTGAATTATCGTTTATCCAAGTTTCATATCGAATTGAAATTGTTCTAGGAAATGGGACATTTACAGAGCTGAATGTATTCAAGGATAAGTCGATTATTTTCCCTGCTGTAAGTTTCGGCGGATACTGCGATATCACGCTAAGTAGAATAAGATCGTATGCTCTCTTCGCTGGTAAATTGTACCAATCGATCTCGTACGATGCTGAACCAATTTGGCTACACTAATCACGACCAATAAAGCTGCTTAAATACCGTGGAAATACATTGAAAAGAAATGGAAACTTCTACTGTAAGTAAGTACCTGTTCGGAAAGAATCTCGCCGATGTAGCAGAATATGAATATATTGAAAGTGAACGACGTTAACAGAGTGAAAAATGTCAACATAGCGATCGTGTCGCTATTTTGCCATTCCTAAAATCAAATTACTCGTAAAAACTTTGCATTTAAAGTAGATTCAAATTTAATTACAGCGCAGAGATGAAAAGTTGGCTAACGGAAGGAACACGGGTCTCTGATTGGTTACAGTGTAATAGGCTCCGCCTTCTTTTACACGTTCACGAAAACAGTCACATCTACAAAATTGGACAGTAATAGCATCGCGTGACTAAGAGAACGAACAGGACATCAACGAACTGACGACCAGCGAGCGATCCAGCGAACTTTAAAGCAGTAGCGTATAGTTAGTGGAAGAGATATAGAGAGATTGCAAAATTAGACACGCGTGAAAGAATATGAAACGTCATTTTGGGTGAGATAAGGAGCTCAAGCTTTGTTCTGAGCTGTCGAAATCAACTCATTGTCAGCTTCGGTTCTCCCGTTACGGTATATTTAAAAAAGTGATAAAAATATGAAGAAAGGTAGATATGATTCTATACTGATTCAAACATACTAAAAATGTCAGCTATCCAAGTATTCACATTTTTCGTTGGGCACTTGTGATTTAAAATCTCGGTGGTTCCTATAAAATGAGTACGGCCCTGCGTGCGGCTAGATCAATCGATATTTTCTTTCTCTCGTCATTGGTTCACACATACTCAGAACACAATAGCTTATTTATCGAGAGATTACTCATCTTTAACCGTACTGTTACGCCTATGTTAAATGTAAAATGCGTCTTATTTACATTTGCAAGAAGCAAAATGAACGAATCTTTTGTTATAAGCTAGAGATGTTAAATTTCAATCCGAGAGGTGAACAGAGTTCACGTTGTCATTTACGACCTCGCTATATCGCTTTCATCAACTATACCCGCGGTAGGTTTCGGATCGTATCACCTTGCGGATACGGAGCGTGTATCGCCAAGAAGTGTACTCTTCTTCCACTTGTACCGTCTCGCTATCCGTCTTCTCATCTCTGCACAACAGGCACAACATCTTTTTACCACCAAACAGTAGTATTCGAGCAAACACAAAATCAGCGTGGACTCGAAGATTTCCACTAAGCAGAAGTCACGCAAAGTTTCCTCAACGTTCTTTGCAAATCTGCAATTTTCGTGCACATGCTTGCACCAACATTTTATAAAACATTTTTTTTTTTAATTTAAATCCATCAAATTCTTACCTCTTTCGTTCACCTAACCAATCAACCTCGTCAAATTCTCCCGAATCAACGTCTCTCTTACCTTAAAACCTTCACGTGATCTCGAACGATAACGACCAAAGGATCAGGACCGTCGTCCTTCTCTCCCGTCCTCTCCACCAGATCCTCCAATCTCGCCATCTGTATCTGAATCTGTCCACAGATATGAGTGACGAATATCGCCGCCAAACTGTACGCTGCCGTTGTCACGTTGTACATGATCATCGCTGCGAAACAGTGAAAGAAAAATACGATCTCGTAGGTAGGACTGGTTTGTGTATCGATAAACCAATCGTAGCCAGGATAGGCTAACGGTTTGTAAGTGTAATTCTCCCTTTTGTAAGTGTAATTCTTGCTTTTCTCCCTCGACAGGAACTCGCTGCTTCTGTCCTTCGATAAGAACTGCATCACCGTGTGATACGACATACCACCTGCGTAAAGAAACACGGCGCACACGGTCGTCAGATTTCTGCTCATAGTCACGTATCTCAACATGATCGTACGATGATTCGAA